TCTCAATTTCTCCCTTTGACAAATGTTGCCTTGGACAAGGCAGTAAAGTGCGCATGGTGTAAAACATCGTTTGAGGATTGGCACTACATCCAGGGTGGTGAAAACATGACAACTTGTAGCCTTTGCACGGAAAAGTAGTTAGGACACAAAATGTGGTGGAAGAAAGGTAGTCAAGACAACAATGACTCAGTGAGTAAATGTTAGTGCAGAGGAAAAGATTAGTCAGTGAATAATGTGGTAGGTGTATACATTAAGCATGAACGAGATATGTTAGTCTTCCATTCATTCTGTGGACCAAAGACGCCGTGTCGCGATGGTAGTGGAGAGTGTGATGAGTGGGTTGGTTGCCACGGCGGATATTTGTCTGTTGCTGATGGATATGATGTTCAGTTAGATGATTAAACATTCCTAGGTCAGTCTGTATCACTGCTCTTATTGCAAGGGTTACTAGATACAGCCTCCAGAATGAGTCCAAATGTCCACACACAGAGGTGACTGCTGTGCTGCCAGTTGGAATGAACAGTCAACAGTGTCACTGGCACAGAGTCAGTGGTCATAGGAACCTGCTGATCATTCAGTGAGTGCATGGATGGTGATGTGGCCAAGCCTCATGCTTTTATTCACCGCTACTGCTGTGAAGGATGTTGAGGCTACCCGACAAGCATCAAGTACTACATATGCTACTTCTGACGACCTTCTGTGGCCTCGAGTGTTTCCATTTAATTTACACTGTCTACAAATGCTTAGAACCTTTTGCAGCCTCTTTTTTTCTGCCTTCCTTCTTTCCTCTTTTCAAAGGGGAAGTTGCGTAAATGAGCATGTTCAAAAGCGGCATCTATTTAATGGCACATGTCGCCCTTGATGGCAATGTCTATCAGTCAAGACATTAGCCAAGCGGAATTTCGTATCTTCTCTGTAAGGGGTAGGTAATCAACACACCTTCCTCATGACCGGCCATGCCTGCTTTTACTAGCGCATCTGGTCCTGGACGTGACAGATATTCCCTCTGCTCACATATGGACGTCGTCTTTGACGACTTTGACCTTCAAATACAGTGTACCTCCACACCTAATTAGCCAATGTGCGATCTGAATGTAGGTACAAATACTTTCAATTCTTGTAGTGGACTCCCGCCAACCACTTTGTCGGCCTTGGTATTTGGACTGGAAGAGACCGGTAGACCTTACCAAGTGCCCGCCACAATGCTAAAATCACTGCTACCACCGATAAAAGGACTGCATGAGAGCCCCTCCTTAAGAGGTGCATACCACGGCCAGGGCTAGCAAAACACTTAATTACCTGTTTCACTCTCGCTCAAATTTCCGTATCCTGACTGTACCCTTTAGTGGATGGAGGTGTTATCACCGAAGAAAATTTGATGAAATCCGAATACTCACAGAAACCTGACTGACCTTCACCCCCAACAATTGTTTACGCTTGCATGTGGTCTGATTTGGCGCACAGATTGTACGCCGTGTGCCTTCAATTAGTGTAGATTTACTCCTTGTTATCCACTCACGCCCACACACACAATGCCTTCAAACCTCACGACACACTCACCCTCCCACTCCGCCTTACTGGATTAACAATGGGGGACTCATTAAAAGCTGAGAAAGAGGGAACTATCATTGGAAAAAATCTCCATTGTCTCTGAACAAGGTCGTGCGGTCTAGTTAGTCCTGTCGTTCGGTCGGTTGCCAAGCTACTAAAGCTCTTATCTTGGTCTTTATCAGTCATTTGGTAACCTCTCCAAGCTGTCTCCTACCAAGGACACTAATGAGGTACATTTTATTGTCAAGGTAAGGTGGGGAGTGTTGGTGGGCGCGAACCTCATTCAGTCGACCACCTTTGCTTTTTCCATACCCTGCCACTTCTCCTGTCCTGACAATGATGAAACGTTTTAACTCTGAATAGTGGGAAATTGGAAATGTGAGGATAGCATTCTCCTTTGCCATCCTGGTGGATGAGAATGAGATAGCATAATCCTTTATCATTATATCCCCTCACGGCCACCACTTGATTGGCTTAAGCTATACATAAACTTAGGGCTTCGTGTTTTCTGTTTGTACGGAGTCACCTAGGAGGAGACAGATATCTCCTCCCCACACTTAACGCACAGGGAAAGGTGAAAAAAAAATGTCGTGCGTCTTGTTGAAGGGAGAAGTGATGGATGCGTTAGGCTTGTGAGGTGGGATGGTGGTGAGTGGAGTAACCAATGTCATGCTTGGTCTTTTACCAAATCCACCTCTCATCACAATTCCGTTTGTTGATCAGTCGGCCACACAGCCAATAAATCAGCAAGCTACCCGTCTCCATTCCTTGTGGCCTAGCAAAAGCAGAGTAGCTTGAAAGATTAACGACAGAAAGGACGTGATGTTCATTAAATTGTCCTTTAACCTACCATCCATGAGACGCGTTTAAACTGCTCTTCCATTTCAACGGAAGTTGCGATAAAGGGCATTAATTTTGTCCCTATTTACCTAAAGGTAAAGACGAGCCTCATAAATGCGGCAAAATCAGTACACTCGAAATGGCGGTAGCTGTCGCCAAGGTCCTCTAATTTACATTAACTGCTTTGGATGTTTTCGTCCTTTTTAAAATTCAAGAATTATTTACATATTGGCATGGCCTTATTGATCTTCCAGCTCCAACCCTCAAGGAGGGGCAGTAAAAAAATGGCTACTTCAAGCTCCAGCCTCTTGCAGCATCTGCTTGTTTAAATGGATATTTAAGGTGAAATGCGGGTTGAGAAGACTCCATCCATCCTCGGGGAGGCGACAGATTCTGCGCCACACAACCAAAATAAAACTTTGACTATTCAGTGTCTTCTTTTAACCAGGAGTCTCAGATGAGGAGTCGAAGAAGGAAGCTTCGATGCACCTCCCCTAAACGCTCTCGTTGAAGTCGTACTAGTTAGAAGTAGTGTACAAGTCCGTGCTACACACTGACATACATCGGGCCTGAGAGACTACCTGGTTGGCTCGAAAACTATGCCGCATTTACCCTCTTAATTGACAGTTGTCACGTTGCTCACTTCTCTGCAAGGAAATACCTTCTGCGCTTCCATTGAAAGGACCAAGGTAACACATTGTCAGTACAGCGTCTCTCCACTTCAAGCAATTTGGTGCCTGCATCAATACACATTTTGGGACATACATAACAGCTCACTTCCACACTTGTCTACCTTTATACCACAATTATGATTTATTTCCTGCCTACCTGCCCACTTACTTACATCAGGAGATCAACACGTTGTGGTGATGCATACAGGTCGCACGAGGTGTACACGTCTCACCAAATTTGCTGTCTGCATTTCCATCACCTCTTTACTTCCTCCTCCTCGTCGGCAAGCTTCAGTTAAGAAAAAAGTCACATGTTCTGCAGTCCTTATTTCGTTTTCCTTTGCCTGTTTTTGAATGAAGGCTGGTGGATTCTGGGTACATGCAAACACACACACCAACAGAGGAGAATAAATGATTCAGGAGAGAAGAGTACAGGATAAGTGCATTCAGCTGTCGTAATAAAGTTCTCCGACTTTACAATTAATTAAATAGGAGTTCTAACACCAGCGTCACTCATATGTGACACGCAAACCTTACCACATTATAATAGTCAACTACTGCCTCTTACAGCGTTCCAAGGAGAGCAAAACGAAACCTTAGAAGTGGACAATTTACTGATTAAGAAAAGGAATGATTTTGAGAGGCTGAGACTGGGATGCATCCTGCCTTTCACCTGGAAGGTGAGAGGAGTGGCCCGAATAATGCGAATAATAAAATTTCGCTATTTTATGACCTCTGCGTCTTTTTCAATGTGTGTATCTTACTTATCACCCAGCCGTAAACGTGGCCACGAAAGTGCCTTCAGAGTGAACACCCTCCTGTCACACACACGTGGAGAGAGAGAGAGGTAAGCAGTCAGTCATCAATGATCAGAGGTGGACGCTGATCTATGCATTAATTCACTTTGTTGCGATCACAGCCATGGGTAAGGCAAAAAGCGAACAAGGGAATCACGAAATTAACACACGAATTGGTGTCGTGCTGGCATTGTAAAGGAGCTGAATGTGGTGGACCGTTACAATCCCTCCATGTCCCATGTTGATAACACTATTAGAAAAGAAGGGAAAAAGAAGGCAGTGGTGGAGGAAACGTGATATTTGATGCACTCAGATGAGTGGGTAGCCTGCAAGGCAGCAACGCCCAGAACCTCACCACACTTCCTTTCTCGCCCACCAACCTTAGCTGTCATTTACGCACTGAAGACCAATTTTTCCACTCATCTTTCATTTGAAACAAGAATCATCAACAGATTTTCTCACTCAGCATATTTTATTGTTTGCATGGAATTTGTACCAGATTTGAAGGATTAATGCTGCCTTCTGTGGATGCGCGTTTTATGGTGGAAAAGTCCGCCCTGACAGCATACGCCTGCCACCGCTTGCCCCTCTTGCCTCTCCCATTTTACACTGTTTGTTATTTCTACTCGTGTGAAAAATAAAAAAAAATATTTCATTGTAGCTTTAAGTTGAAACAGCCTACTGAGAAATGGAAATGAGGATGCAGAGTAATTCATCTACCTCTCCTCGTTTGCACTGTAAAGTTTCCATTGGCTTAATTTCCTTATATAGCTGTCCTGTCAGCCCAGAATTGCCGTCATCTTTGAGGTGAGACGTAGACAGGTAAGTAAACATGACAATAACACCCCTATTTTACTTCTTAAACAAATTTGCTAAGCAATCAAAAGAATTTGCACCCCCCTTTTGACTTCAAATCGGCTTGTGGGTTTTCACTCAACTTCAAAGTTTTGCCTAAATGAGCTGTATCCTTATTTTTTTAATGAAAAATAAGCGCGTATATGTCAAAACCCTGACACATGGTTAATGGAAAACGAGATAGTATAGATCAAAACTGGGACCTTTAGAAATGATGCAGAATCGGTTGCCTCTTACTATCATCGACATTGTAAGCACATAGGTTACCATTCAGCGAGATGTTTATTCACAGGGATGACTGTTGTGCTGTCGGATTGGAACGCCACGACACCACCATAGTCAGCACTGTCACTGATACACAGTCGGTGAGGCGTTGTTGAGACCAAGTGGCTATTAGCTCACCGCACTCTGCTCGACGTGGTCTCTCGAAATCCGTCATCAGGTTAAGGAAGACAGACTTGGCATTTGACAAGGCGTGTGGTCTAGCCAAAGTGAATCATCTTCCTAACACGTGTCTGTGGATGCGCAGACTGACTGGCGTCAGTTTGCAGGCAAGAGATGGTTAATTGAAATCAGGGCAGGTTACAAAGCACAAACCCTTATGTTTACTAGGGAAAATCCAACTAAGAGGTCTGTTCCTGTCTGAGGGAAGGCTATGATTTGCTCTTCCATTGGGTTACTTTTCTTTCGGCTGAAAACGGAAGATCAACCATCCTACGTGGGAAATTCAAAGAGCGTCTTAGCCACCATTTGGATTAATGGTTGTAGTACCAAACCACAGTATTTCCCTGTTGTACCTTCCAAGTTAACTGATTTGTTTGCTTTAGCCAAAAAAATTATTTCAAACAACAAATTTATTGTAAATAGCAATTGCAAGGTTGTTATACATATTTAGACCAAAATTAGACCTCCACTACCTTGAGCTATTCGCGGTGCAGAAGTTGTTTTGTCTAGCATTTGCCTACATTGGTATCACAAAATTTTCGGCCAAAGTTTTTGCGTTTTCAAGTAAGAAATCAGTGAATAAAATCAAAGCTGCAGGTTTTTTAACTTACAACCGAAGGTGGAGTGTAAACAGCCCCGAAATTTGCTGATTCGAAAATAGCTGAAATGTATAACGACTTAGCGTCTCTATATTTCAGACACTAGAGTTAAAAAACTGTTTTTTAAATTACCCTTTTCAATTTACTCGGAAATAATAAAATGACGGTAATATTGCGCCACTCCAATAATTTCGCTTGTCTTGCGAATTTTAAATGCTTATCCACTTGCCTTCACGAGTGAACTTGACGGAGCGAAAGTTCTCCTCAGTCTGGCCATCTCTGTCTGTGACTTACTTGTCAACGCTGTCGACGACGTCATCCTCAACCAAACGGTAATACTGTCGTCGACGAACCTCCCAGTGGCTGCTGCACCCACCGGGCTTGCTTTTTGGCCTGATTTATGTCGAAAATGATAAATTCGGCAAATGATGACAGTTGAAAGCTAACGCATTCTATTCCCGTGGTTTGTAGATGCAACAAGCAGTTGGACTAAGTTTACTGTCAGTTTTGTTTGGTGAACTGCCATTTCTTCTCACCCATACTTGTCCTTTTTCCTTGATGCCTTCACTGAACAAAGCCAAAGATGCAAGGCGCGCAGCTGTCACAGCATTCCAATGCCTCCCCTCAAGTGAAGGGAAGAATTTTAAAGTAGCTCGTCTGCGTTCACCTGGCAAGCCATTGTTGTCCAGACACACCTTGCAACTTTAACATTCACCGCACCGAGTTCGTGAGTAGAAAGCTTGACAAACATATGTGGTTTTCATATGAGTAGCAGTTTGTTGTCCATCCTCACTCCTCACTCTCAATTGTGAATGAGCGTTCTAGAAGAAAGGCAAACCGAAAGCAGCAGGAGCAACTGTTACATTTCTTGAAGCACCATACCATAAATTCGAGTTTGCAGACATGTTTAAATGCAGTAGACGGCTCTCAGGAGGGATCTGTGGGCTGATGGAGGGAGCGCAATTGAGGGTGAATTTGCATCCGGTCAAAAATGACAAAGACAAAGAGAAGGAAAAGAAGGAAGAGGAGGATAGAAAACAGACAGCCGTCTTCGTTTACCATCAACAC